TATTAAATAACATATAATAGCCATTATTGATAATAGTGGATTTGTTCTTCCAGGCAGTACAGTCCATCTCTCTCCTTAGCGAGTCCAATCTTCTTCCCTAATCCCTGGTCCTGAAATAAGCAACAAGTAGGGTTAAATAAGACTTAACCATTATGAGCACTGGTAAGTTTTTGTATAGAGATTAGGTTTATGTAGCATATTTTTTAGAGTGAGAGAGGAAGATTTGAGTATGTCTCCTTGGCCTGCTACCGTGGTAAGAGAACCAACAGAAGTGATGATTTTCTTATCACTCGGGCAAGGAGTGTAATTGATGAAGTGAGTAGTGGAGTATGTCATGTGATATGTGGCTCCTGAGTCAATGATCCATACTCCTTTCAAATGATTTCTAGAGGCACTTAATACAATGGATATAGAAAATTTACCTCAAAGTGCAAGAGAAGAAAATGCAGAGGCTTTTCAAGTGCATCAAGAGTTGCTTTAGCTTATCAATATCTTATTTGTTGAGCTCTCTGAAATTGGACTATATTTTTGAGTTGGGCCGACTTGTTGTAGTGTTAATTTGTGAAGTTCCCTTTTATCTAATTCTTTAATTTCACTCATTATTTGGGGGCTTTCCATGTAACTTCTAACAAGGGAAGGCCGGCAATGAAGGAACGGTAGTAAAAAAAAAATTAGAATTCCAGCAACAACAATGACGTTTCTGATACCATGTTAAATTCAAAGAATTGGAGAGGGAAAAGGCTTAATTTTATTGCACAAACTTGTCCATATTTATAGATCTATACAAGATATCTTAATAAAGAAACCAATAATTATAGAATAATGCATAATTGCTAAAATATAATCCTTCCTAACTCAGCCATCTAAATAAGGAAGGAGATCAACATGATCCAGGTGAGCCTCCCATGGATTCTCATCTTAACCGTGCAATCAAAATGCCAAGGACAGCTATGATTTGATAGGTGAGCTTCCCATGGATTCCATCCGAGCCGTGGGATCAAAATGGTAAGGGACGGCCGGGATTTAACAACTAAAACAAATTAAGATGAAAAAATAAAAAAACAAATCTCTGCAATCTCAGAATCACGCTGATTGAATCCTTGTGTCATTTCATGTTGATTGATTTGTCCCATCCTCGTCTTTACTTCATACTCATATACACCCACCACCTCTCATTTGTCTTGATATCACTAACTCTATTCCTTTTCCATGCCTACCCAAAGTCCTAAAACCTGTTGACAAAGTAGCAAAGAAATCACAACGGGAGAAGGTATTGACGAGACCAGCAATCTGTGAAGGATACGAGTTTGTGAAAAACTTAAGCTAAGCCCTTCTCGAATCTGATTTCCAAACCTCTATAGCTCCTACCTCCTACATCGATCAACGTACCCTCTCATTGCTACCCTATCTGGCTATCAATGTTGAGGAGCACTTCTATGACCTTCAACATCAACTGGACCCCAACTATTGGCATCCTATCCACCTCTCTATTCTATACTCCAACATCTCACAAGCTGCAACTCCCCTTTAATTCCAACCTAAATTATCAAAATCTCGACGATAGAGAAGCCTAAAGGAGAAAAGTAGTTTGGGTGATTTGTTGTTTTAATCCACCCAATTGAATTTAATTAAAAAAATAAAATAAATAAATAAAATAGAAATAACAACAACAACATTAAGCCTTTGTCCCTCTACATGGGGTCGGCTACATGAATCCTTTTTCTCCATTGTGTCATATTAAAAGTCTAATTCTCATTTAAATCTAATAAAGAAAGATCATTTCTAATATTTTCAACCAAGTTTTTTTAGGTCTATCACTACCTTTCTTAACATAAGTCAAATCTAATACCTTTACTTTCCTAAACAGGTTATCGAAAAGTCGCCGTTTTATGCGACCAAATCATCTAAGGCGACTCTCTCTAATCTTATCTTCCACAGGAGCTACACCAACCTTTTCATGTATATGCTCATTTCATATCCCTATCTTTAAGGGTGAAGCCACTCATCCACCTGAGCATCCTTATCTCTGCAACCCTTAACTTAGTATTATGCTTCTCTTTTAATGGAAAACATTCAGTACCATAAAGCATTACAGGTCTCACCATCATCTTATAGAATTTTCCCTTAAGTTTGAGGGGGACTTTTCCATCACACAATAAGCCCGCTGCATTCCTCCACTTCAACCATCCAACTTGAATTCTACTGATAATATCCTCATCTATTTCACCATCACTCTGAACAACATATCCAATATATCTAAAACGTGTACTCTTATTAATGACTTGATCGCCCAAAGTCACAATCCCCTCACGAGGTCTATTACTACTAAAATTACATTCTATATATTCAATTTTAGATCTACTTAAGCGAAAACCTTCAGACTATAAGGTTGACCTCTATAATTCAAGTTTACCTTCAACTCCTTCTCTAGTCTTATCCACAAGAAAAATATCATCAGCAAAAAGTATACACCAAGGTACATCCTCTTGCAAATGTCTAGTGAGAACATCCCTGACTAAAGAAAAAAGATATGGGCTTAAGGCTGATCCTTGATGTAATCCAACCGAAATAAGAAAATACTTGATAAAATCACCTTGTGTTTGAACACAAGTAATAGCTCGTGCATACATATCTTTAATGATTTGAATATAAGCGTTATTAACTCCTTTCTTTTCAAACCCAGCTGAACTTACTTAAACTAGGGTTTTAGGTAAAACTAAAGAAAGAAATGGGATATAAGGTTATGTAGGGTTCAAGGTTCCCATTTTTTCTATTTCAAATGATTTAAGTTAAATCCTGCAAATATCCTATTGCCAAAGAAACCTACCACTCTCTCCTCTTACTTTCTCATTTTCTCTCTCTATCCACACCCACACACTCTCCCCTTTTTCTATCTATTTCTTTCAAAAGAAAAAAGAAAAAAAAAAGAGGAAAATCCAACAAAAAATTACAAAAATAGGAGAGAGAAAGTGTGTGATGTTGATCTCACCATAAAAGTGTTTTCACTAATTCTTCGTCGTCTACCACCTCACATATAAGGTATAATGCAAAACCTCAAAATTAAGTACTCGTGTACCTTATTCAATGCAATGGGGAAATGCATTTGCATTTGTAAAGCATACTCAGAAATTTCATGGTGCACGAATACAAAAGATACTATACAAGTACACTGTGCATATGCATAAAAAAATAGTTGCAAGTTTAGGTACTCGTGCACCTAAGTACACTATTTTCTTGGATTAGGTGCACGAGTACTCAGAAATGCATACAAAAGATTAGGTGCATGAATACAAAAGATAATACAAGTACACTATGCAAATGCATAAAAAAAAACTTGAGTGTAATATGTAAATGCACTGAAAAGCACGCAGAGGTTCAGTGCACCAAGCGACACCATGCAAATATACCATGCAAGCATGTTGAATACCCCGTATATGCCTTGAAAAGCAAGAAACTACCTCATGTTGAAACACTGAAAAATATGCAAGAACTCAATGCAAATGCACCAAAAAAAGAGCATGTTCGAATATACCAAAATAATTAAAAAAATTAAAAGGCATGCAAGTAGACTATAAAAATGCATTGAAAGACATGCAAGAGCATTGCATATGCACAATAACATCATGAAACATGTAAATGTACTTTGTAAATATATTGAAAAGCATGCACAATATATCAAATCAATGAAAATAATCTTCTCTGCATGTGCTCCAACAAATATGCTAAATGCTCTAACTTAACTAAGAATGTTGTATGGATAGAGAACAATTTTAACTAAAAATTATCTCATTTTGAAAAGCATATAATTGCTTTGTAAAGCATGTAATCATTTGAAAACTCACAAACCGTTATTCAAAATCAAATCAATCTGCATGTACTTTGATAAACTTGTTGATCACTCAAAGTATACATTTGAGAGTACTGTGCGGAACAAAATAATTTGAAATCCAAGAAACATGCAACTATTTTTTGAGAAAACATGCAATCACTTCAAAAAAAATTTAAACCTAATCTTTCAAAATTAAGTTCATTAACATGCACACATGGGCCACCCTACGTATAAGATAGGGTCAAAAGTCCCACTCTTCAAGCTCAATCCTCCACATCCCAAGACCGGAGTTGACAAGACTTCCACTTGTCAGTAATTTACCGCAACATTCATTGAAACAGAATTATGATCATATGCAAAAAAGCTAGAAGAGTTGACAAGATCAAAAGCAAAAAAAATGAAAGTTTTCAGAATCCCGATGAAGGCCACATTAAGAGAAAATCTCAATCGGAGAAGAATACAATATTAAGAAAGTCCCCCAAATGCCAAACAAATCATTTCGAGCTCAAATATCAAGAAAAATATAAAAATATCAAAAAACCTATAAAATTGAAGTTATTTCAAATAAAATCTATCAACAAAAACTTTAAAGCCACAACAATCTACCCTCTACAATTTTTTGTCGAGGATGATAATTTTAATAATAATCACAGCTCACAAAAAATCAATATCTTGCAAGGGCATCATTAGTTCACTCTCAAACAATCTCTCGTCATTGAGGATGTAGAACATCTCCTCGACTGGTGAACTGTCTCCTTACATCTTATAGGAATAAATGGGGTAAAAAATGAAGATTTGCCAAATCAGCCATAGTCATCTAGCAGTTCGTTGTGGAACTTCCTGATTCCAATGGTTAAGACCATTAGTTGTATGTCTTGAAAAGCAGCTTGAAATATGAACTTTTTAAAATTCTTCATGGTTCGAATTTAACAATGCACCCAAACAACTTGGCCATACCTAGAAAAGTGAACCATAAAAGTAGAAAAAAAGGAACTTAATTGAGAGCATTGGAAGTTCAGGAACAACTCCCAAATACAAAAGTAATTTAATTATGGTTTTAACAATCAGATAAAAGCCATGAAAGAGACAGCTCGCTTATTTGGATTTCTCGTTTACAGCATTGCACATACCAGTAAGAGTATTATATGGTACAGAATAAGAGTACATATACCTTTTATGCTTGAAAAATATTCCACAACCATCACGTTTCTGTCCAGTTCTCTGAACGTAAATGCTGGAATATCCATGTTTCTCCATGTTTCCTTTGTAGAAGTTATCGAATTCATCCAACTCCTGTACAACATTGTCATTAGGACATCAATGCAATATTAATAAGATGCATGGATTCGGTACCTCCAAATTGTCATTCTAACGGCATGATATAATGAATCCAATACAAGCAATACGTTCAGATTTGGATGGATTCAATCTCAGCCATCCAAAATGAATTGAATTTCTGGTATGTTCAAACCCCAAAAACATAGTACAACAACAACAACAAACCTTTATCCCAATATGTGGGGTCAGAAGAAGGAAATCATACAACAAATTGCATGAATTATATACACACACAAAAATAAAAAAGAAAGTTGTTCAAAATCAACTCTTCATGGAACTGGTTCACAAACAAAATTAACTTTTCTTGAAATCAGCATAAGAAGAAAGTTGCTCAAAATCAACTCTTCATGGACTGGTAAGATTTCGCAGGGTATAGACTTAATAATTTTCCAAGGGCCACTCCACATATAAAGAGTGGAATCAACCAAATCCAAAACCTAATAATTATCCAAGGCTTGATCCTCTACATATAAAAGATAAAGTTTACAAGCACCATAGTGTAATGATCGCTGCAAAAGAAACGACTTTACTTGTGTTGAACCAAATCATATCTGGTAAGAACTTTAAGCTCGTTAAATATCTGATTATTTTTGTAAGTTTGAATATGTTCTTATGTTTATAGCTAAAATAGGTTCCAAGCTGAAATTTAAAAGTAATAATAAGTGTCAAATCCTCTCTGGGAGCACTTCTTCGTTGCAATGTCAAGCTATCTGTTTGGTGGTTAAAATAATTCCCTCCTTTAAGGGAGGGGGGAGGCTGCGACTGTCACAGCCCATACGGACGCTTGAATTAACGAGGTGGGAACAGACAGTCGGAGGTTTTTAAATTACTAACTAACTATTTCCAATACAAAAAAAAAACCCCACTAAAATCTCAAAATTTAATGTTATAAATACCTTTCTCTCGGAGCGTGTCAACTACGATACACATTCTCTTATCTTCTACTAATTTTAAGTTTTTGAATAATACTTGTGTTCATTTAAAAATATAGGGGTGAATCATAAAAGAACTTAGTGAGCAAACCATGTTCTAAACTATAGTAACACAAGGCATTAGAAATAATAAGCATGCTCATTTTCAAACATAAAATAATTTTATTTTAATTTCATTTTAACATAATCATCAATATTATGCATATAACATATCTTTATATTTTCTGTAAATAATACAATCATCATAAGAGACGTCATCTAAACATAGTACCAATGAATGTACCACTTTTTCATTTCCTTTTCCGTAATCTTGTTCATTTATGTGCACGGGTGCATTGCGTCCACCTCTAGTATCATAAGGGGGTGTGCTTCATCATTCAACATGCACATGTAAGCATATATATCTAGCCATTTCATTCATATAACATTCATTTCCTTTGTATAATAATGTGAAACACAACAAGTTAATTTCATCAGATTCAAAGTGATCAATCATTAGGTATGAGAAAGACAAAACATAGTCTAGCTAACAATAAAGACTTAATAAGCAGGTACTATCTTTCAAAGCATTTAATTAAAGAGAAAATAGAGTCATTATTATAATAAAAGAAACATGAAAACTCACATTGATTTAAATAGCTTTTGTCTTTTTTGTCATTTTTCTTGACTTTAATAAAATGACACATAATAATACATAATTTCATATGGTTATTTTAACTTATATATTTAATCCTATATCTCTCTAATTAATTATTAAATATACTTAATAATTCTTATTTTTAATGATAAAAATTTTTTCTCCTTATTTTTTCATTTACCTAATTTAATTGTTATTAATAAAGTTTCTATATTTAATAACTTCTCTCTTTAATTAACTAATTAAATATACTCTCATTTTCTTGTAGATTGGTGGGTTTTTTTTAATTCATTCATTTTTTTCTATTTTAAGTTATTTCTAAAATCTTGTAAGAATATTTATGATATTTACTCTCTCTCTCTCTCCCTAATTTTATCATTACTGATTTTGATGAAAAATAAATCTAATTATTATTCTATTTGATATTTTAGATTTTCCATTAAAAATATAGATATATTTCTTATTTTAGTATATAGTTATGACTCAACATTTCATGAATCAATTTATATCATATCCTTTTCTTACCTATTTATGAAATTAATATCAATTAATAGTAACTTAAATTAAATAAAAAAATAAATTCTTAAAAACTAACATTCCCCTTCGTCTTCAATTTGCCCTTGTGCTAGTGTTCTCACTTGACTCTTTGACTGCACTTGCTCAAGCTCCCTCGGTCTCACTGCTCCCTCTCTTCTCTACTTTATAGAGATAAAGCCAACGACCGAATCGATCCTCACCCTTCAGCTTCAACAACACCAAAAGATGGGAGCGAGTTCTTCATTTTCTTATGCTTCATGTGATCCGAATCATTCGGGCTTCTGCGATTCCAGGTCACTAAAACGACACCGAGCGTCTTCTTCGTCTACCTTGCCTCCTTCGACTTCCTCATCTCACTACAGGAAAATCATCAATACTGGTAAAATTTTCAACGGTTACAGAGATGATAAAAGTGGTGACTATTTCATGTTATATGCAATATAAGTAGAGTTATAAGGGTTTATACAGATATGTGAGATGAACAAGTTGAGTTATAGTGAAAGTGGAGTTATAAAGAAAGTCGGGCTATTTATAATTATTTTATCTTGTCTTCAAACATGTACACATCCAAATCCACTTTCTCTTTCCATTACTTGTATTTTATATCAATATATATTTTACATTTTCATATACATTCATATTAACAGGATAATTGATAAACATCCTTACTGTCATAATAACTTGTAGTCAAATAATCATCATTCACATGTACTTTTAAATGAACATCATTTTTCATTTAATGGCATTTAATATAAAACAATTACATAAGACATTTCTTTTAGAATTAAAATGAACATGAAATTATCCACTTTGAACATTTTGAATGATCAGATTCCTTCCAAACCTCAAGCTTTGTTATGGATTTTTCAACACTCGTTTCAACACAATAATGAATATATATATTCAACTTTGAGTACTCAGTTATATCTTCAAAGTAATAGCAAGTATTCCTACTCTCCATACAATAACATATATTATTTCAAACATTTCTAAGGAAAATTTTTACAAAATTGAACATCATTAATCATAGCATTAAATGGCTCTAATTCATCCCAAAATTTCTATTATATTGAAATAATTACCTCATCAAGATTTCCCTTCCTTCTTTACAAATCTCCTTCTTCCACTATCGGATTTAAGCTTGTTGTAATTCAACTCTTTCTACAACAATAACGTCTCTTCAATTAAGAGAAATTTAAAATTTTCTTTCTCACAGTTTGAACAGAAAATAAAAGAATAAGAAAGGGAATTTACTTAAACTTTCTTATGAAGGGATTTTCCAAAATCCAAATACTTCCTCTTTCTCCGTCAACTCTTCCTTTCTAAAATCATTCACTAAAAGTCATTAAAATAAATTTTATAAATTATATTCTTCAAAATTTGAACATAAATAATTATGAATGAAATCACTTACAAAAAAAAATTTCCAATACAATATCTTCCGCTTTCTCTCCCATTTTTTTTCTTTCTCAATTCCTTATTCTGCCTTCTTTTAAGATAATTAATCTTTTCATAAGATTAAATCACAGAAAAAATGCAAAAAAATGAATAAAATATGAAAATCTACCTTCTTCTCCATCTTCTCTTGCTTGTTTGGCCTCTGTTAACTTTTCGTTCATTTGATTCCAAAAGACCAAGTGAAACGAGCATATATCTCACGAGTTGTTAATTTTTTCCCTCGTACGTGATCCTTCGCTCAACGGCTCGATTCGACTCCGTCTGGGAGGGTTATGCACGCGGACGGTCGCGGTTCATATACCTGGATCTGCAGTTCACATAACTGCTCACCCGCTAAATGAATAAATCGATTTAGTTGAACCGGTTAGGTCTGATTCTCACACCATATTATATGTTTATATTTATAAATGTTTTATTTTTTCAATCCAATTATTTATAGTTGAGAATTGAAGTGAAAGGAAAATTTTGTACTGGATTATTATATATGATTCTTTTGATGAATAGCGCTGTTATAAATATTCATATTTACTGTAATTTGATATTTTGATTTACTCTGTATCTATTTATAGATGATAAGTTATATAGCAACAACAACAACAATATCAAGCCTTTATCCCACTACGTGGGGTCGGCTACATGAATCCTTTTTCTTCATTATGTTATGTTAAGAGTCAAATTCTCTTTTAAATCTAATAAAGAAAAATCATTTTTTTTTCTTAATCAAGTCTTTTTAAGTATGCCTCTACCTTTCTTAACATAAGTCAAATCAAATACATCTACTCTCCAAACTGGGTCATCAGAAGGCCACCGTTTTATGTGACCAAACCATCTAAGGCGAGTCTCTCTAATCTTATCTTCCACTGGAGCTACTTCAACCTTTTCACAAATATGCTCGTTTCATATTCTATTTCTAAGAGTAAAGCCACTCATCCACCTAAGCATCCTCATCTCTGCAACACTTAACTAAATATTATGCTTCTCTTTTAATGGACAATGTTCTTCGCAATAAAACATTGTAGGTCTACCACCATCTTATAGAATTTTCCCATCTATTTCACCATCACTGTGAACTATAGACCCAAGATATCTAAAACATGTACTCTTATTAATAACTTGATCGCCCAAAGTCACAATTCCCCCACTAGATCTATTAATACTAAAATTACACTTGATATATTGATTTTAGATCTACTCAAACAAAAACCTTTAGACTCTAAGATTGACCTCCATAATTCAAGTTTACCTTGAAAACAAGAAGAAAATCATCAGCAAAAAGTTACACCCGGGTACAACCTCTTGCAAATGTCTAGTGAGAACATCCATGAATAAAGAAAAAAAGATATGCGCTTAAGGTTGAAATAAGAATAAGTTATATAAAAATAAGAATAATTCTTTCAATTAGATCTTGGGGTGTGACATATAGCATGACTATTTTCGAGGCCCAAACTTCATTGCAAAAGTGATGAAAATTTAACATAACTAAAGTAAGAAATTAGCATTTTTCAAAAACAAGCAAGGTTCCTAAGTGAACTGTTAGACCGGTCCAGCCGGTCCAGGCGGGACCGGTTCAGGGGCGGAAATCGCAAACAGGCGGCCCGTTCGCCCCCGTAGAGCCGTTTAAGAAGTTTTTTTGAGCGTTTTGAGAGGGAAATTTGAACGTAGGGACTATTTAGGGAATTCCTTTTGATTTGTATGCATTAAATAGTTGATTTGGCTAGGGTTTGAGTATCTTGAATTTGGCTGAATTTTGAGATTTCTTAGATTTAGGTTTTCTTTGGGCTCTAGCGGCGTCTAGAGATTTGGGAGAGATTGATCCTCCTCTCGAATTGAGGATCAATTGTATCTTTGCTGTTTTCTTCTTCTACTAGTGGAATACAAATCTTGCTTTGAGTTTTCTTTCCAATTTCCTCTGAAATTCTGCTGTAAACTGCTGTAAACAGCAGATTTGCTGTGTTTTCCTGCTGCGGACAGCAGTCCAATCACTGTTTTCGCTATTTTTCAGAAGATCTACAAGTGTTTCCTATCATGAACTTCAAGTGAAGAGCCAAGTATCAAAGAAAATTGACAGCGAAAGAGTAACACTTACAAATGAAATGCAAGAATAGAAAGAAGATTCATGCCACCAATGCAACATTTAATACATCAGTTTGCATACATACATATTTAACCATCAAGATTAAACAAAAGCAATTAAATCTGGCCCATTGAGCTATATTTATAGGACTGACCATGCACAAATCAAGTTTGATTCAGTCATCGATCCAACATCGGTAAGCCAAGAAAAGTTTTGTATAAGTTACTTACCCTACGATGGGCACGACTATTACATATCATAAGCAAAGGAAATCACAATAAAGTTTATCATCGATGTTGTGCATAATAAATCAAGCATACCGCTCTAAGTTTAAACCTCTATAATGATTACAGTAACTACAATTCTAACAAGAGCGGTTACTAAAATAATGAAGCCCTCCACAACAAAAGAAATAAAAAGTTGAAAGTTCCCAAGAACTCAATGACGGGCGTGTAATCAGAAGATCGTAATAAGAGAAATCAATATCCACATGTATCTCAAATGCTCTAAATGCCCTTTCATCATTAAAAAAAAAAGTATACCATAGCTTTAAAGACCCAATCCTAACTAGAGGAGTTCATCATCATAAAAATGATCAACACCATATAATATATACAACTCTCACCAACCATAACTATAGGAGTCATCATAAAAATTGATGCAAGCAAAAAATATAGGGGACCCTATATTTTTTGCTTAACAAAAATAAAGCTCGGACGACACCGACAAAGCAATGACTACAAGAGGAAAGAACAAACTCTTACAATTCAAATAAAACTAAAAAGACAAAATTACAACGACGACGACTTGCAAACTTAAAATTAAAAGACGACACCCTAAAGTTGTTGCACTTGGAGAAGAAAGATACAGATGGAGCGGCACTTGCGGAGAGACGAAGAGATTAGAAGCCCGAGAAGAATGGTGGAAAGAGCCCGCAGGATTTTCGGAGGGGATGAGAAAGAAGGGTGGAAAGAGCCCGCAGGATTCCAAGCAACCCGCAGGTTAACAGATTTTTTTCAAAAATCACATATCACATAACTATTTCAAACATTACAATACCCCCATATATATAGGTATGAAAGGGGAAGACCAAAAGACACATAACATTAATTCAAACACATTAATCTAAGCATTAAAACATATAAATCCTCCCCCCCCCTGCTCACGGAAATCAACCCCAAACCAGGAACCGAAGAGCAGCCGCGGGAGCGCCATGGCCTCGGGAAAGAGCCCAGGCACGGGAAAACCAGCGGCCGGCCGGAATTCCATGGGGCAAAATGCAAAATACGAAAAGCCAAGGAGGAAGCCAAATGGCCACCTCATGGGGAAAAGAAAATCTTGGAATTCCAAAGGCCGGTTTGGAATTCCAAGAGACAAACATAAATACTAACATAAAACGCATAAAAGATATTAATTAAAAGATAATAAATGAACTAAAATGTTAGCTCATAATGAGCTAACCCTTAGTTCAATAAATGAACTAAAGTCCAGCTCATAAATGAACTAAAAGTTTAGCTCAAATATGTTAAACTACTAGACTCAAGGGAAGCCAAAATATGATTTATTTTAGCGTTAACAAGTTGGTCATATTTAGAATGTAGTTGAATATACATATCCCTATCTATGGAAT